ATATGTGTGTGTGTGTGTGTGTGTGTGTGTGTGTGTGTGGTGTGTGTGTGTGTGTGTGTGTGTGTGGTGTGTGTGTGTGTATATGTATGTGGATGAGTGCTCGCTCGTGCATGTGTGTTTACATACACATGAAATGATAACAGAAATGATTACGCAGATGGTTACAGATACAAACAATTCACCGACAGAAGCCATTCGGGTCAAATTCTTTCCACTTTCCTTGTAAATCGCTATTAATAGATAAGTAGTCAATAGCATTAATTGATCAGAATTTTATAGATTTGATATTGCCTTGTGTTCCTTTTTTTCGAGGAAATTATAGGTTTTTGTTCAGTTAATTCGACTTTAAATTCCCTCGTGTTCTGTTTTTTTCGATGTTATATTTTATGGTGTTCATTTTTTTCTCGATCTGTGTTTGGGTTCTTGTTTAAATATTTTGATCTACATATTGCTTGTATTTATTTTTCGATCGTATGTCCCCTGGTGTTCATATTTTCGATCTTATGTTTTGTTTCCGTTTAATTTTACGATTTTGTGTGCCCTCATTTTCAAATTTTCGATCTATATATTTTTTGTTTGATTTTACGATTTTATGTACCTTAATTTTCAAATTTTCGATCTATATATTGTTTGTGTTTTATATATATATATATATATATATATATATATAATATATATATATATATATATATATATATATGTATGTATATATGTATATATATATATATATATAATATATATATTATATATATATAATATATATATATATATATATATATATATATATATATATATATATTACGATATTATGTACCTCATTTTCAAATCATCGATATTATAAATTGTTTCTGTTCGATTTTACGATTTTATGTACCCTCATTTTCAAATTTTCGATCTATATATTGTTTGTGTTTAATTTTGCGATCTTATATACCCTCATTTTCAAAACACCTTTCTATATATTACTCACGTACAGTATTTCGGTCTCATATATCACCTGGTGTTCATATCTTCGACCTATAATATACCACATTCATCAAATTCTAGATTTCCAAATAGCCACGTGTTTTTTGCCAAAAATCCAAATATGGCGGCGGCGAAACAGCTGATTTCGACGGTTTGACAAGATGTTTACGGTTTGAAATGACAAACAAAAGCGCGCGGGTGAGCGTATTGCATAAACAAGAGGAATTCGCAAACATATCTGCATGGAATAGCAAATACGTCATTCGCGTCACGGTTTTTGTCTGTTGATGATGAATAAATGAATATATAAAAGCGGGGGTTGAGGAGTGTAAATATATCAAAAACGAGAATTATGATTTTGGTAATTTTTGTTATTTTCACCGAGAATCTACATACAGCGAGGATTTTCAGAGGAATTTTGCCTTTGAGAACATGGCCGCTGATAAATACGCACATAAATACTTACGCACACATTTCACACACACACATACTTAAAAATATTCTTTCTCTCTCTTTACACACACACACACACACACACGTACCCTCTCTTCTCTCTGTCTTACACACACACACACACACACGTACCCTCTCTCTCTCTGTCTTACACACAACACACACACACACGTACCCTCTCTCTCTCTGTCTTACACACACACACACACACACGCACGCACACGCACACACGCACTTCCCCCCCCACCCCACACACACTCCCGCCTCCTCCCCACCCCCCACACAAACGTACACCCTTCCCCCCTCCCCCTCACCCCTCCCCCACACACGTACACTCCCCCCCTTCTCCCCCTCCCCACC